TGGATGGATGGATGGATGGATGGATGGATGGATGGATGATGGATGGATGGATGGATGGATTATGGAAATTAGCTTTAAGTTGAGCAGGCGAATAAGATCTCCCAATGGAAGAGTATTTTTGCCATTACAATAATAAAATCGGGTTGTTTCTTATTTTAAATGTAGAGCATTTTATAGAGAACTTGTCTTAGCTGTTCAAATATAGAGATTTAGAGCTTTAGATTAGCTGATTGTATCTTGATACATGAGACGGCTGTTAAAAGTTTGCTTATTTCAGTTAAGACCAGTTCATTAAATGATTCTTTATGCAGGGAGGAACAACCTGGGCTTTATTTTACGTCTCAGGAGAGTAGCATCCATGGTGGAGAAATGAAAGTCATTTCTGCTTTTCTGGCAGTTTTAATGAGCTGTAAGAAATGGATGATCCTCTTTGTTTTGTTTGATATTCAAGAACATTTTCCAGCTGTTTAGAAGACGGCAGCGGTAAATTTGGCCATTGATTCTTAATAAATGCAGATATAATCTGTCATGTTTTTATAGAAATCAAAGCTGCTAAATGAAATAGTGTTTCATTTGTCATTTGCTCCTCTTATTGTCTTTTTCTCCCATCTTTGTTCTTCCATGTTTTCTGACAGAGTCTTTTCTTTCTTGGGTCTCTATGTCTGCTGGTTAACCTGTAAGTTCCTGCTGCTTCCTGCCTACTCCTCTTTCTTTGTCTTTTCTTCTTTTTTTGGACGTTTACTTTGATTTTTTAATTGGACGTGCATTCAGATGAATGCCTTTAGGGTGAAATAATAGAGGAATAACTCTGGTTTTCCTAAATCCCTGCTTCTGCTTCCTTACATCCTCCCTTCTTTTAAATGTGACCATCTAACTTACCACTGTTGGATTTTTTACTCATAGATTCTGTTGTGTTTGTCTGATGTTTGTCTAAACAATTTAAGTATTCAGAGATATATCTATAAGGTTCTTCTTTAAAAACTGAATCTTATTTTAATCTGATTTTCTTTGTGTTTAAAAAGCTGACATGTGAATTTTGTTCCATTATTTTAGAACGATGCAATCCAGAAATGAAACATTTAAAAACCTGTGTCAAAAACATTTTTAGAGTCACTATGCTGTTTTCTCAGATTTTATTCTTTCTAGTTAATTTTTAAGAAATTTATTTTAGATTTTTTTATTGTTAACTAATTTTATCTTTTTTTTTTTCTTTGTTTTTGTGTTTCAGATTGAGCTTTACAAACTGCGTTCTTTTTAAGTTGGATTTTATATCACTTTCTAATTACCAGCCCAATCCAGACGCTCACTCTTGACCAATAAAAATGTT